ATCCTCAGCCTATACAACTATGAAACCAGAAGAACTAGATAGTGCCCAGCTACCACTGTCAACAACCTGGGGGGCATGGTCTATGTAGGAGATCCTGGATAGAGCGGGAGAATAATGTGGAACAAAACTGAAAATTATTTGGGAAAAAAAAAGGAGGTGGGGGGACCAGGTTTGCTGGTCTGATAGAACCTGATGGAACCCCTGAGACTATGGCCCCTAGCTGCCTTTTAAGTCTGGAATTCACTGCCTTTTAAGTATGGAGTGAACATTTACACTAGGTAGATACACTCCTTAGAGATATCAATCATGGAAGAATAGAAGGGCTCTGTATGCACAGGGAGAAAGCTCAGGGGGCAGAAGTGCATGGAGGGAAGGACACAGGGAAGAGATAACTGTGGGGCAGAAGTGGGAGGGGAGCTGTTGCATTGTGGTAAATTATAGTCAATATCATGAAACAGTGTATGTGAACTGCTGTATGGAAAGTGAATTTCTTCTGTAAACTTTCACCCAAATCACAATTTAAAAAAAAAAAAATGCTCCTTGGAAGCAAGAATGGCCAGACTTTGTCTTGCCTACTTTGGTTGTGTTATCAGAGGGACCATTCCCTGGAGAAGGCTATCATGCTTGGTATAGTGGAGGGTCAACAACAAGGAGAAGGCCCTCAACAAGGTGGATTGACACAGTGGCTGCATGATGGGTTCAGGTATAGCAGGGATTATGGGGGTGGCACGGGACCAAGCATTATTTCATTCTGTTGGACATAGGGTCACTATGAGTCAGAGATGACTCAACGGCACGTAACAACAACAACAACCTAGTTTAAGAGGCTAGAAGGTCAAATGCAGGGTACTAGCTCTAGAGGAAGGCTTTCTCTCTCTGTCAGCTCTCAGGGAAGATCCTTGTCTCCTTTCAACATCTGTGTGCCCAGCGTTCCTGGACATCTCCATTTGTTTTGGCATCAGTTTTACCCTGGGTCTTAGTGCAGGTATCCCGGATCCAAAGAACGTGCTCCATTCCTGATTCTTCTTTCCTGTTGGTGGTGAGATCCCTCTTCTGTTTGCTTCTCTTCATTTCACCTCTTGTAAGGTAAAAGGTGTGACTCAAGCAACAGTGTGACTTGAGTAACGGAGTGACTTCAGTACTTGAGTAAGGGTGGGACTTGAGTCATGACTTTTTATAAGGCTATGACTCAAGATACAACCCACAATAATCTTGCCTCACTAACCTATAGAGATTAGGATTTATAACACTTATCACAAAATGGAGGATAATTCGATCACAAAATGAATGTCAGCCATCCAATCTGGAAATCAAGACCTAGCCCAGGCACATATTTTGGGGGGACACAATTCAGTCCATGACAGCTTCCAAAGCATAAGAGTGGCTTCTACTGATGATGCAGTAAAACAGCTTGTGGTGGACTCTTTCTAGAGTAGCTTAATGAAGCTATTGTACATCGCCTCCTTGGAAGGAGGAAAAAATATTGATAATTAGGAGATATGTGGTAGAGTCATCATTGGGATACATAGAGATTGTAGTTCTGTGATAATGCAACACTATTACTGTATACACTAGTCAGCACTTTTATTCCTCCTTCCTGACTTTCTCCCTAGGAAAAAGCACCAAGGAAGCAGCAGAGCCAGGGGCCACCAGTAATTTATATTAGAATGACAATGAGGGATTAATGTTATTTATTTATTTATTTTGCAGTTGACATTTTGTATTTAAAAATGTATTTCATTTCACATAATTTTTTTTCTATTTTTATGAATGCTGAATATATTTTAGAAATACTGGCATAAAACAATACCAAAGTTTCTTTCTTGAGTGAAATAAGTGCCATGATAAATATTACAGTCACTGCTACTGGAATTCTCCAGCTTAACTTAAATATAAAAAATGCCAAATAGTCTGCCAGCCCGTTTCAACTGGGTTCTCATAGAATCCTCATTAAGAGGGACTAGTAGGTAGACACCATCCATTTCTTCTGGACTCATGGCAAAAGAGGCACTTGTTGTGGACGCAATTATGCACACATTCCATTTCTTCCTCTTATTCCTGACTCTTTCTTTGTTGCTTCAGGCCTGGCTATCATTATTGAACATTTTAATCAAAGATTCTGTGAAAGAATCTTGGTTAAAAGGGGGAATATGCAGAACAGAATTTAAAATTCTCACAGAATCTAGGTTTTCTGGAGTCATTGGGGCTGGGTAAACCCCTGAGAACTATTGCCCTGAGATAATCTTCAGACCTTAAACCAAAAATATCTCTTGAAATCTTTTTAAAAACAATGAGTAGTTTAGCTTAACTAGTAAATAGTGTCTACTGTGTGCGTTACATGCTTTTAAAATCTATCTATATGGGATCAAATTGACAATGGCAGCTTGAAAGATTAGATAGGAACCTTAGAGGGCAGTGAGTTTTTGTTTATAGGGGAGAAACAACTGAGAAAATGAGGATGAGAACGGTTGTGCAAATCAAAGAATGTAATCATTGTCACTGAATTATACACGTAGAAATTATTGAATTAGTGTATGTTCTGCTATGTATAGTCTCAACAACAAAAATAAGTTATAAAAAGATAAATAAAAATAACTTTTTCTAAAAAAGAGGAAGCAGCAGCTACCAGAATATTCACTTAATCAATAAATAACTTACCTCATTGAGCACAGAAAAGGAAAATAAAAGTGGTCAGTAGTTAGGAGCTCTGGTGATGTAGGGCCTAAGGCATTTGACTGCTAACCAGAAGGCTGGCAGTTCAAACCCACCAGCCACTCCTCGGAAGGAAGGTTGGGCAATTTACTTACATAGAGATACCGCCTTGGAAACCCAAGGAGGGCTCACTATGAGTTGAATTGACTGGACTGCAGTGAGTTTTGTGGGGTTTTTTTTTTTTTTTTGGTTTAGTCAGTAGTTTCCTTGTGTTTACCACTAGATGGCACTAGTGTCCAAAATCACGAAGTGGATGCTGCTCTCTGGGGCCACAGAATGACCAAGAACCTTGTACCAACACTGCTGTAGGTTTCCTGTGCCAGGGTGCATGGAGTGAGAGAAAGGCCTTCTGCATGCACATTTTTTTTTCCTTTCTGAAAGCCCAGAGAATATAGCCGTATAGGAGTCAAGGGTAAGCCTAAATTCTGGTAACATAATAATGAAGAAAAATTGGATGCTAGTTGGTGAAGAGGGGAAAAAAAAAAACTGATCAGAATACATATTTTAGTTTTTAGATCAAGGAAATTAAAAACTTAATTCATTAAAATGACAACTCTTGTCCATTTTATAACCTAAAATCACTAGTTAAAATCACCTGTAAGCTTGGAGCTGTCTTCTCACCTATAGGTTTTGAAAATGCTGTGCTCTCAAATCAGAATAATTTCCTGGTCTTCTCCTCTCCTCATTCTAAGCCAGTTCACATCCTTCCACTTCTGGTGTTTTATACACTCAGTCTTAGAAATTATTCTTCAACCTATAATGATAGAGTATAAGTGACATGCTCAAAGTCACTCATACAGTGGCAGTTAGGAAGTGAACTCAGATTGTCTGCTACACCATACTGTCTTTACACACTGGTATCTAAAACTGGCTAAGAGTATGACCTAAAGAAACTTGATATAAACTATGGCCAGTGACACATTACCAAAAGGTCCAAAAAGTCAAAAGTTTAGAAAGAGTTACTAACATTTTGTGCCTTTGCCCCTATAACCATGTTAAGAAGTAACTGTAGGGGGCTCAGGAAATGTTGGAATTAGAGAACTTTGCTTTCTGTGCAGACCAGTGGTTTGAGTTGCCTAGAAGACTGATCAGGCATGTGCGGAGACATGAAGACTTCTTAATGTACATGACTTAGAATTTAGGGCTTCCTTTTACTACTTCCTGAAAGGGTCCTAAGCTCTTCTTTTGTTCTTTCCATCACCACTTTGGATGATTTGTTATCCATATGAAATATATCTTTCATATGTTGTTACACTTTTTTTTTTTTTTTTTTTTGCTTTTGAAGAACAATCAAAACGATTAGAATAGGCTTCTTGCACTAAATGCTCTAGAAGTACATACTCTGCTTTTAAGATTCTCATTTTTCCAATAATTTGTTTTATAAAGTAATTTATGAACAGGGATCTGACATTTATAGCAATAATTGCCCCAATATCCTCAAACTTTTCCTAGGACTTTCTCTCTCACCATCTTCACCTAAGTCTTCTTCCCAACCAATTCCTTTTGAGCTCCTTTCTGTATACCTCTTCCTTGCCTGGTGAGGCAAAAAAGAGATCAAATCAGTGACTCTGCTTTGTATACCTCAGTCCTTCTCTGATAGAGTTTTGTAGGGTAATTATCAGAGTCTTCATAGTTTTGGGATCTGAAACATGGTAAATAATATCCCCAGCTGCTTTGAGACAGCCCTGTATCCTCTTTCCCATCCCTGGCCTAACACTTAGCTACTTTGTGATTGTAGAAAAATAACTGTATATTGCCTGAAGATGTGAAGAATTTTTACCTGATGACCAATGGCTTCCATATGACATGGAATGTGAAGCTGGATGGTAAGTCTGCTTCTTCGCTGGAGGGGAATATTTCTCTGGTTGAGAGCTTATATGAGACTACTCTGAGGGCCTATCTAACTTCTGAGTCTTTCAGTCTGGATGGTTTTCATGGGTGCTCCTAGCATGCAGTGTCCAAACTGTGGTCATCTTCCAGGGCTAATATACCATCAGTGCTTCACCCATCACTTATCATCACCTGATGCCACAGTCTAACTGGTACTTTACTGAAAGAACAATTTAGAGGTTTCCTATGGGACTGGAGCAGAGGAAAGCATTAATCATTAATGTTAATTGAACTTAAATCCCCTGAGGACTCCCACCTCAGAGCAAACCCCTTAAGTTGAGCTGCAGTGACAACCTCAAATACTCATGGGAGGGACCAATCATCTGAAAGAGAGGAGTGGCCATAGACAAGGGAGTGTGACAACCAGTACTTGTTCTGCCATTGTCATTGCCTTTTGTCCTCTACCAGGCCTCTGTCACTCTGCCATGTGAGAGGTACGCAGTCATTATCATATAGGGGTGAAAGCTATCTAGGTTCAAGCTCTAGCTCTAGCACTTATTACTAACCCTTCATTTCCTCACCTCTATAACGGCTATTAGAACAATATCTACCTCAAGGTGTTGTTAAGGGAAGTCATTGGGAAGCAGTCATAGCTTACTAGTGCCTGGTACATAGCAAATGCTGAATAAATGATCATCATGATTATCATGATCACATTGTATGAGACCTGTTACTTCATAGGGGAAATGTTTACTCAAGATGTAGAGCAACAGCAGAGGAGAAAAGATAAGGTCCTTCAGATAGACTGGTTGTCTGGTGAGGTGCTCAGGCCAGATGGACTTCATTGCCTCTTCTCATTCATTAGAACTTAATAAGAGTGATTTATTTTTTTCTTACATGGTTAAAGGGAAAGAACAACTAGAGATCACACTTACATATAGCCTCTAAGACTCTTGTGAGAACAGTATCTGGAGGGTATTTTTATTGGCATAACTCTTTCCTTTTCATTACTTCATGTGAAAGGTACTCTGTGAGCTCCACCTTACCAAATTTGGCTTCTAACCCTTGATTCAAACCTGACTTTTCTATACTTTTTCTTTGTGAGAAAAACTTCAGAGAAGGCAAGTAAGAGTACATGGTCAGTTGAGATGGATGGGCAAGATAGATCAGCAATCCAGGCTCCTTTGTTATTTCTCACCATCATGAAACCTCAAGTCTCTAATGCTAAGATCAGAGCTTTTCCTTTTCTCCCTAACATTATATCAGTGTACATCACTGACCTCATTTCACAGGCTGTCATCTTTAGCCTTAAATGTGTTTAGGACAAAAGCATTTACATTGTGGATGTAGGAACTTACAACTTTGTACATGTCTGCGATTGCAGGTACTTTGTAGACATGAAAGGAAGCTCTGCACGTTTCGATGAAGACTCCTCTAAAATTTCATAAACTAGGAAACCTTAATCTAGCCATTGAACTCCAGCCGATTCCTGGCATAAATTTCCCAGCCTTTCAGAGACCTATATTGTCTCTTGATTCCAAACATATCCCTAGACCTACTTTGGTTCTTTGGAAGCAACGTACACTTCCCATTGCTGTCCCTAGGAATGCAGCGACTGCTGTTGCACAGCAGATCTGCAGAACTGACTTCTCCCCTTCTTTGGCCTCTGCCTCCTGCCTATACATCTAGGTTTCCTTTTTTTGGTTATTTCCAATGTTCTGGTTACCTAGTGCCACTCTGACAAGAATATACCACAAATGGGATGGCCTTAACAAACGAGTTTATTCTTATAATTTGGAGGCTTTAAGGCCAAGTTCAAAGTGCCAGGCTCTAAGGGTTGGGAGAAAGCCCCTCAACCTTGGGTTGCAGCTCTGCCTTCTGCTCTTGGCCCACCGAAGCTGGAGGCTTTTCTTCACTCAGTTGCTGGCTGCTGAGGCTGACAAACCCAAGGTTTACAAGTAAAAAGACACAATCCCGATGTTACCAACCCACACAGCAGGGCATTACTTCAAGTCCATTGTAAGTCCCAAGGTCAGCAGAACATGGCAGACTAGTGAACAACACCATGGCTACATGGCAGGGTCCAAGTGTGCCATAAGCTAGAGACCATTTTCCAAGGCGTCTGCTTATATACAGAAAGCAGACCACATTCTCTAAGGCAGCTACTTAGCTGTTCACAGTGGATTCCACCATGGAGTTGATTACCAGTCTCATCATAGGGAATACTATATCCAGCTGCCCAGCCACTCAACCAGGCCTAGCCAAGTTGACGTACAAACTGAACTACCACACCCAGCATCTTCCTGACTCTGTCTTACAGCATTGACCAGAGGCACTTTTTATAGCTTTCCACTGAAAGCTTTAACTTAGACCCATTTTTTCCAATGGCCCAGAAACCATTCTTGTCCAAGATCATATATAGGGTTGGCAGACAATGGTCCTATAAGTTTATGTGAATGATCAGAATCCCCAGATGTATAGTACAGCTGACAAGGGGCTAGGTTGTGGTCACTGCTTGGTCACAGCCAGCTACCCAGAGCGACCGAGTAATTGATCCTGAGCGCTTGGGACCATGGTCACAGGGGACATCAAGCTCAATTGTCATAACATCTATATAAAACATTGTTCCACCTCCTACTTTGGTGAGTAGTGACTGGGATCTTAAAAGCTAGCAACCTGCCATCTAGATGCAATGATGGGTCTCGCCTCGTCAAGAGCAAAGAAGAAAGAAGAAAACCAAAATTAATGGAAACAATCAGTCCTCGCGACTGGTACACCATCTGATCTGCAACCTATACAACTATGAGACCAGAAGAACTAGATGGTGCCTGGCTACCACTGTCATCCACTTGGAAGGGATGTAGGAGATCCTGGATAGAGAGGGAGAACAATGTGGAACAAAACTCAAAATCATTTGGAGGGAAAAAAAAAAAAAGAAGGTGAGGACCAGGTTTGCTGGTCCAATAGAGCCTGGTGTAACCACTGAGACTATGGCCCCTAGCTGCCCTTCAGGTCTGGAATTGAACCCACACCTGTGGTTTCCAGCCAAACAAAGTACAGGCATGTGAGATAAACATTTACCTCAAGTAGACGCACGCCCTGGAGAGAACAATCATGGGAGAAGGAAGGGCTGCTTATGCACAGGGAGACAGCTCAGGGGGCAGGAGAGTATGGAGGGATGGACACTGGGAAGTGGTAACTATAGGGAGGAAGTGGGAGGGGAGCTGTTGCATTGTGGTAAACTGTGGTCAATGACATGAGACAAAGTATATGTGAACTGCTGTATGGAAAGTGAATTTGCTCTGTAAATCTTCACCCAAATCACAATTAAAAAAAAAAGACTATGATGTTTATTAAAAGAGACTCTGAAACTTGCTCTAGAGCAAAGAATAGTTAAAGAAAATGAAGAAAACAATAAAGTAAAAGAGCTGAACAGAAAATTTCAAAGGATGGCTCAAGAAGACAAACTAAGTAGCATGATAATGTTTATTAAAAGAGACTCTGAAACTTGCTCTAGAGCAAAGAATAGTTAAAGAAAATGAAGAAAACAATAAAGTAAAAGAGCTGAACAGAAAATTTCAAAGGATGGCTCAAGAAGACAAACTAAGTAGCATGATAATGTTTACAGACACCTGAAGTTAGAAAACCAAAAGGAAAGAACACATTCAGCATTTCTCAAGCTGAAAGAACTGAAGGAAAAATTCAAGCCTGAAGCTGCAATATTAAAGAATTCTATGGTGGTGGTGGTGGTTGTTATGTGCTGTCGAGTCGACCCCGACACATAGCGACCCCTCCTTGGGTTTCCGAGGCAGTATCACTATGGAAGTAGGATTGCCCAACCTTCCTTCTGAGGAGTGGCTGGTGGGTTTGAACTGCCAGCCTTCTGGTTAGCAGTCAAGTGCTTTAGCCACTATGCTACCAGAGCTCCCAAGAATTCTATGGGCAAAATATTAAATTATGCAAGAAGCATCAAAAGAAGATGGAACAAATACACAAAGTCACTGTACCAAAAAAATTGGTCATTGTTCAGCCATTTCAAGAGGTAGGCTATGATCAAGAACCGATGGTAATGAAGGAAGAGGTTCAAGCTACACTGAAGGCATTGGCAAAAAAAAAGGTTCCAGGAGTTGACGTACACCAATTGAAATGTATAAACAAACAGATGTAGTGCTGGTGGTTTCACTATGCCAAGAAATTTGGAGGATAGCTTCTTGGTCAACTGACTGGAAGAGATCCATATTTGTGCCCATTCAAAGGAAAGTGATCCAACAGAATGCAGAAATTATCAAACACCATCACATGCAAGTAGAATTTTGCTGAAAATAATTAAAACAAGGTTGCAGCAGTATATTTACAGAAAACTGCCAGAAATTCAAACCAGATACAGAAGAGGATGTGGGATGAGCGATATCATTGCTGATGTGAGATGGATGTTGGCTGAGAGTAAAGAATGCCAGAAAGATGTTTACCAGTGTTTTACTGTCTATGCAATTTTCTCTGCATTCAATGAGGGAAAATGACAAATGGAAGAGAAGATATTTTCCACTGTGAAAGCTTTTTGTTAAAAGCATTTGGTTGATAACTGAAAAAGTTGGTCATTCTAGCAGTTCCATGGGAAAAAGACCTGGCAAGATGCTTCCATAAAGATTGCAACCAAGAAAATCACATGAGGTTACTATGAGTCAAAAACAACTCAACGGCACCTAACAACAACATTATTGCTTCGGAAGTGTAACTCTTTGTGAAGAATGGTAGTTAAACAAAGGAACCAAGCCAAAGCCAAACTCACTGCCATTGAGTTGATTCCAACTCATAGCAACCCCTACTGGGTTTCCAAGACTGTGAATGTTTACAGAAGTAGATTGCCTCATCTTCCTCCCATGGAGCAGCTGGTGGGTATGAACCACTGACCATCTGGTTAGCAGCCAAATGTCTTACCCACTATGCCACCAGAGCTCCTTAAACAAAGGAAAGAGGTAGGGAAAATATTTTTAAATCCTTTACCTTTCAAATGGGGTACCTTGCCCATTTTTCAACATTCCACCATAACACATGCAGTGGGGACTCACCCAATCCTCCAGTTGCTTTTTTTTGTTTTTTGCATGAAAGGTTGGTGCTTTGGAGCATGTAATGCAGTGATCCTGTTCTTTTTACTTTCCACCAGATTCCTTAATTCTGAGACCAAGTAATAGCTGGGCTTTAAATTACTCAAGCAGAAACCCTCAAAATAAGCATTGTAACTAGTCTATTACTCTACATAACTCTCTTTTTTGATGTTTCCACAGACCACACCATTCCATTGGGCAGCATGGCAATTAACAGCATCTCAAAACTCACTCAACTTAACCAGTCTTCCATGTATTCACTTCCTAATGCACCAACTCTTGCAGACCTGGAGGATGAAACAGAGGAAGGTACTTACAGGAACTTCTACTTTGGGTTAGAATTCATCCTGCTTGTTTCCTGTTTACAATATTGAAAACCATGGGAAGACATTGTGACATTGTAATATAAACCCCCAAACCAAAACCCTTCCCATTCATGTCTTCTTAGTACCTTGGGAATAAAGTAAAAAATAGCCTGTTTCAACAAAGGAAATTTTCATGTAGAAAATGCCAGGATTTGGATCTTTGTCTGTTTTGCTCCCAGCACCAGATCAGTACCTGGCATATAACAGGCACTTAATGAATACTTGATGAATTAATGAATGTTATAGATCAGACTTCACTCGATAGTACATTATCAAGAGAACATTCAGGGACCTTAGCCATAAATGCAGCTCCCCTTCCTCTCCTTTCTTGCCTATGAGCTATTTGCCACTCGTGAGTGAAATGGCTCATAAGTCAAATGGCTGCTAAAACCTATGAGCAACTGAATACAAGTGAGTACTTCTTCTGTGAGTACTGTGTTTGCATGAAACAGAGACCCAATTACAATGTCTAACCTCAATAGGAGTTTGTTCTTCTCATAACAAGAAATCTGGAACCAAACTGGTATAGCTGCTTCACAAAGTCAGTGATAGAGTCTTCCTTTGGCTCCTGATATACCAGCCTTTGGGTATGGTTTTTATCCTCACGGCTGAGGAATGTGGGCTCTAGCTCTAGGCTGCCAGTCTATGTTCCAGGCAGGGGAAAGAAAAAAAAAAAAGAAACAAGTCAAAGGACAAAAACACTGTCTCTTGGGAGAATCAGTCCCTTTTTATTAAGAAAACAAGTATTCTCAGACACCCCTCCTCTCAGTAGACTTCTGCCAAAACAGGACAGCTGCAAGGGAGTCTGCGAGGTGAGTGCTTTAGCTGTGTAGCAGTACCTCCTCAAAGAAAATTTTGGTTGAATTATTAAAAAAGCAAGGGAGATTAAATATTGAGTAGGCAATTAGATTGTCTTCTACACTAAGGCTTTGGGGTTCATTGAAATCCTGGTAGAGATAACAGATTGAAGGTTTTTTTTCCCCCCTCAACTGGGCAAGAAATTGGAGAATAGCACTAGAGGAGTCCAGGAGTAAAGCTTGGAAAGTGATGAGTCTGGGGAAGAGCCTGTTACTCAGAGATCTATGGGAACTCCAAGGGTGGAGAGAAGGTCACATTGGCTTCATAGGTTTATGTTGGGGCTAACTCATCCAAGGTAAAGAAGTTGAGCAGGTAAGCTGAAACTTCCCTGCCCTTGACACTGGAAGAGTAAAAACAGACTTGGTAACAGAGAATTTGAGAAGCCTCAACAAAGGTCTAAGCTAGGGATAGGTGCCATATTGTCCCACATATCCACATCTGGCTCCTGCTGTGTTCATGCTTTCTAGGATAGCCCAACAAGCAGACCTAAGTCCTTATGTACAGATATGATTATCTATTTAGAATATCCAAAGAAATGTACAAATAAATTACTAGAGTAAATCAAAGATAGCCCATTCTTATATAATAAACAATCTTAAAGGCAAAATATAAATGTATACCTATATGTCTGTTTAGGACCATATGAGATCAAAAAGAATATGAAAGGATTACGACTGGAAGACAATAAAACCAAGTCATTTTTTAAATTAAAAATGTAAATATTTATACATCTAAATAGAATTATCTATATGTATGGACATATACCTCAATAAATAAATAATTTTATTTTTGTGTGGAATCTCTCTTAAGTTTGTAAACTCTCCCACCCAAGTCAGCATACTAATCTTTATTGAATAATAGCTATAATGAAAGAAACAAGAGAGAAGGTGTTTGATGCTTTTATTTCTTAGAATATATCTTTTCTAAGTAGATATATCAAACTGAACCAGACTTAGCACTCCATAACATTATAAGTAAATATTATAAATATACATATTGTTGTTGTTGTTATGTGCCGTCAAGTCGGCCCCAACTTATATCGACCTCTCCTTGGGTTTCCGAGGCGGTATCACTACCGAAGTAGATTGCCCAACCTTCCCTCCGAGGAATGACTCCTGGGTTTGAACCACCAACCTTCTGGTTAGCAGTCAAGTGCCTTAGGCACTATGCTACCAGAGCTCCTAATATACATATTAGACAAGGCAAAGTAAATTTTAATTCAAAGACCATAAAACACTATAAATGAGGGGGAAAATAGTTATCTGGGGAAAAGAAAAAAAATCGTGTCAACATCAGGCCATTCAGATTACTCTGTCTTTGTGTAGCCCATTCCCAAAATGTTTGGTTTGTTTTCTATATGCCACCTTCTCCTGGATTCCCTGACACTGTTGATTGGTGATGAGGGAGCCCAGACAGGAGGCCTACTCCATGGATGAAAGCTGGGGCATTTAGAGTATAGAAGTCATTTGGCCCACATTTGAAAATCATATTTAAGAATATGCCTGAGGTAAGGCCTTTTCCCCTTGTTGTTTTTATCCTAGCAAAATTGGATGGTTAAGTATATGTTTGCTTGAATGTCTTTGAACCTTACCATTCAGTTTTGGGTTTGCAGCCAGTGAGGACCAGCTGGAGAAACCTCACTTCGACACTCGCAGTGTGATATTTGAGCTGGATTCTTGCAATGGAAATGGGAAGGTTTGCCTTGTCTACAAAACTGGGAAGCCAGGTAAGAATCATTTACAAGTATGGTCTTAAAGTTTGAGTTTGGCCTTGGCTGCCTCTGCTTGCCTGCCATTGCAAAAGGGCACACTCCTCTGTCTCCTCCTGAAACGCTGCCAGGTCTCCTGTAGGCACCAAAACCCAAAGAGCCTCTTAGATCCTCTTGGAGCAACCCCTTCTAAGCCAGTCACTAGAGGTTTTTTTTTAAGCCATTATCATTTGTGAGTTACTGCAAAACAGTCTATAGTATTAGAATAATAGGTGAGTGAAAATGAAAAGAAATAGTCTTCTGTTTATAGACCTCTCAGCAGACTCATGCATTAGACAAGCATCCAGAAACACATTATCTTTGTTCTGTGCCCTATACCTAAGCTAATTAACAGCAATAAAACCTGAATTACTAGACCTCAATCTAGGAACCCCTGATAGGAAATCAAGAGAAGAATTTGGCCCCTTGAGCAGCAGCACCTGTTCCCCCAACAGCAGTTCAGGCCCTAGCCATGGCCTGTGGAACTTCAGAGGTGGACCTCTCCAAGGAGCTTTGTGTCTGGCAGGGGTTAAGAAGACACAGACACCAGGATCTGTCCAGGATGGACACCAGTCTGTCCATCCATCAGTGCCACAGATACATACCGGCCCTCTGAGGGTAGAAGAGATCATTTCCAGCTGAAGGAGGCAAAGTAGTCTTTTAGCTGTACCTTGAAGTATGGAGTTAGATATGAGGTGGGAGGGATTTAGTGGCATAAAGTGAACATCCAGACAAAGGGACAAATGAGTCAAAGCTGTGCCGTGGAAAAGCACAATGATTTAGGGGAATGACAATTTCAATTCAGTGAGCCACATGGTTTATCTTGTGGGTGAAGAGAGAACCGGAAAACCAGTTGCTTGCTTTATGAAAAGCTTAAAAACAAAGGAAAGGAGTTTGGACAACCTGTGAAAGACAATAGGGAGTGAGTTAAGGTTGTTTAGCAGAAGAATGGCAGGATTCAAATGAAAATGTATGTGTGACTACAAGTAGTTTCAGAAAAGGAAGAGACTGGAGGACAGAGGCCACTTAGTGCCCCGTTACAACTATGTAGACACGCGATGAACTAGGGTCAGAAACATGAGTAAGGCAGGAGTTGGTCGTGTAGTGCCTGCTTTGGCTCAGCTAGCTGCTATTTACTCAACAGCATAGGAGAGCAGGCTGGTCTGGGCTTCTCTGTGGTGGTTTCTCACAGCACTTCTGACTGATTGCTGAAACAGCTCTTCATAAAAGCCAGAGCCATTCAGAGTTTGTCTCCATCAGGAAAGTGGAGTCCACAGTATGTACAGATTGGGGAGGGGGTACTGGTTCCATACACCAGGAACATCTGCTTAAATAGCCTGAATGCACTTCCTGATGGACAAAGCCCAGCAGCTAGAGCAATCAACTGATCGATTGTTGGAATATTTGTAGAATACCAAAGAAACTGGTCACTGGCCAGTGGAGAATGGGACTGGAAGGTTAGGAAAGAAGGGACTTTTACTTTTTAAACCATGGGTACCAATAACTTTGTAACTAAAGGGGAAAAAATGTTAAACCATTCTTTATCACTTATTTTTTTATTATTTATTTGTCGACTGTTTCAGCATTAGCACAGGACACTGAGATCTGGTTCCTGGACAGAGCTTTATACTGGCATTTTCTCACTGATACCTTTACTGCTTATTACCGCCTGCTCATCACCCACCTGGGCCTGCCCCAGTGGCAGTATGCCTTTACCAGCTATGGCATTAGCCCACAGGCCAAGGTAAGGGAAGGACACTTGTCATCTCAAACTGTGTTGTATATTAAGAATCTGAGGATTCCCAGCTTCACCTTCTAATTCAGAAGAACTAGGGTAGAGCACCGAACCTGCATTTTCACTAAGTCAAGCAGCTAATTCTAACATAGGTGGACAACTTCAAGTTATACTGATCTGGTTAGTGGTTCTCCAGTTCTGATTCTCAGATTCCCCTGGGGGCTCTTTTATTTTTGATTAAGTTGTATTTTTAGATGGGGCTTCGTTCTCTCTTATTCCCCGGTTCCAGCCTGCTCATGTACTTCCCCAGAGGTAGCCACTGCTACCAGTTTCTTCCTTGCATATAAAGAATGTGGGTATACATACTGTCTTTGTTTCCTTTTTTCTAAATCATAAATGCAATATATTACATTGTTCCACTTCTTCTTTTCATTTATCATTCTATCTTGGACCTCACTCTCTATCAGTGTATGTTCCTCAAGTGTTGCATAATGATAACACCCACCTGTTCGATTCTGGTGGTGGTTGTGATCAAAGAAAGGTCAGTGTCTGTGAATGTCATTTGCCCTCAGCTACCCAGAGAACCACTAGGGAAGAGAACAGCAACTCAGGCAGGGGCCCTCTGTCATGCAGCTCCCTGTGAGATGGTTTTGCCAAATACATGTGGGGGGGAGTGGCTAAGTTGAGGGCAGATAATTAAAAAGACACTGTCTCCCAGTGATTTGAGATGTAGTACCCCAGGTTTAGGGATCACTAGATCAGAAGAAAGGGAGCTTACTCAGGTTCTTAGTTCTCAGACTGCATTTATTTTAAAGGTTAGGGGCTTCAGAAAAAAATGTGTGTGTGTTATGAGGTCTTGACTGATCTGCAATCAGTTTCATTTAAAGGAAGTGCTAATGGATTTGTGAGGCAGTTTTTCATGAAAACTTTCCTCTGTTCTCTCTCAGCTGCATCTCCCCAGCATCCTAACCTCCCCCCACCTCTGCTCGCTGCTAAAGAACATAAAGAGTGGCATTTTTCCTTTGATTCATGAGCCTCTCTCCCAATTCTGCCTTACAGCAATGGTTCAACATGTATAAACCCATCACCTACAACACAAACCTGCTCACAGAAGAGACCGACTCCTTTGTGAACAAGTTGGATCCCAGCAAAGTATTCAAGAGCAAGAACAAACCTTTAATCCCCAAAAAGAAAGGGCCTGTGCAGCCTGCATGTGCCCAGAAAGGGCCCCCAGGTTCCTCCACCTCTAAATCCTCCTCTGGCTCTGGAAACCCTGTCCGGAAATGAGCCCTCCCACCTCCAGCTCCCTGCCAGCCACACCACACTGGGGATCGCCATGCATTGGTGACCCCAAGGGTGTCCCAAGCCTCTGATTCTGTGTGTTGAACCATAGGCTTCATCCCATGTAAATCACCAAAATCCTAGGCCTTTTATTCCCATTGGCATCAGCCAAGAGTTAGATGGACATACTGAAGTCTCCTCAAGAGTTCTTCCCTCATACCCTTCACAGCAAGTGGTGTCATCTCATCTCTGGAAGCAGTGCAGAATTTTGAATCTTGTTGAAGTGGCCAAAGAGATCTATTGACATCTTTCCTTCTCTTTCCGTACCCTCTCCCTTTCCTCAGTAGTGACTTGAGAAGTCCCTGAAGAAACCACTGATTTTCACTCAGAAGGCATTAGAACTGCACTGTTCAATTGGTAGCCATTAGGCACATATGGCTATTTTAATTAATACTAAATTAAAAGTTTAATTCTGCAGTTGCACTAGCCACATTTCAAGTATGAATTGGCCAGTGCCTCCCATTTTGGATAGCACAGAGATATATATGGACCTGTCCTCATATGCCTAATATTTGACACAAAATGTATCTGAACCTACCTACTGTATCCTGTGGAATTTCTATAGAAAAGGTTGCTCAGGTTTTCGAATAGGAATATCTGAATACATTTCCTCGCTCCATGGCACTGGCAGTAGGCAGAGCAAGGCCCTTCTCCTTCCCAGCAGGGAAAGCCCCCGGCCCCAGGGTCCTTGGATGGCAGCAGTTTTTGTCCTGGAGGCCCAGAGGTTAGAGAAAGACGAGTTCTGAGGACTGTGGGCAGAGTCCTGTAACCCTTGCACATTTTCTCTCTAACTGGCTGTCTCTGTCTCCTCACTCACCTGTCTCCACCACAGTGATGAGCCAGGCTTCCTTTCTTTGCTGCTTTTACCTGCTGAGGGAGAGAGGATTTCTCCCACTGCAGTACAAAAAGCAGTGTCTCGTTCTGCACCTGCACTTCTACTCTGACATGATTTTGAATATTTATGAATTTTTGCTGTTTTGGGGGATTTTTTAATTGCTGATTATAGCAATGGATAGTCAGTGAAAAGGAGACTTCGGTTTTCCCTAGGTTTTCCACAGCCCCTGAGGGAAGCCAAGGTGAAGAGGTTGACCTTTGATGATCCAGAGCTCTGGAATGGGACTTTGCTTACACATTTAACACCACCATTATTTTTCCACCAGAGCCATTGGAGAGGCCAAGGAGGGAGGGGCAGACAAATGGGGGCTGGCTGCTCCCTTGTTTTTTGTAATACCTCAAAGGCTTGAAATATTAATGCCCTCAGTCTTTGGGAGCATAAACTGAGCTTCATGTTAATAGCTTAGTCATTGCTTTAAAATATGCGTATACATCAGCCATTATGATTCTGTCTTATGGGAAATGTCTAAAGAAAATACCAATACGTCTTACTTTTGCAATTCCAACATTAGCTATTTACTATTTAGTCTGGTCATTTAACCTTTTTTTTTTTAAAACCATGACATGACTGTGTCATATTTTCCCTCTAGAAGGTATTTTGGCCCTTTCAATTTAATTATTTATGTTCTCACATGTTGAGCATTTTCAAATGTGCAACAATTCATGAAGTAACACTAACAAAGGCAATATATCAGAACCTTGAGCCACCAAATCTTAAAGTAAAATTTTTTTCTTTTGACTCAGTGATTCATTTATTCCAATGAGTCCCAGCCTTTTCTGCACATTGAAATCACCCCGGGGAATCCAGGCCCCACCTTAAACCAATGAAAGCCTATGCCTGGGCTTCATTATTGTTTAAAGATCCCCAGGTGATTGCAGTATGCAGCCAAAGTTGCAAACCACCAAGTTAGTTAGAGAGAAGACTCTGGCAAAGCAGCGAGGACTTCAAAGATAAATGTCCAAGCACCAAAGTGGTAGCAACACAAACCAGTGTTGGATGCTTGGCCGAATTCTTGAGAATATTTATGGGGAGTAGTTTTAGGTGTTATCCTTGAGCCTGGTTCTTTATCCTTCTCAATGATTCTATGAGCCGTTCAACACTTTTTAAAATAAGAAGTTCTTTATTTATGTGTTTGTTTATCTCAAAATTTTATTTTGATAATTTTCAAAATTTGAAACATTGAAAAGATTTACCAATTGTTTGATGTATCTTTTGCCGCATTCATACATTCTCTGTACTTATCTGTATACACACACACACACACACACACAAAATATATATTTATATTTTTGTTTGAATCACTGGAAATTAAGTTTCAGATTTCATAACTCTTCACCCTAAATACTTCAGCATACATCTGAATAAGGATATTCTCCTATCTCACCATGTCATTATCAGTTCAAAGAAAATTAGCAGTAAGTCCATCATATAGTATATAATCCATATTTCCTCACTTGTTCCCAAAAGTATATTTTATAGCTGTATCCCCCTCCCTCTTGATTTAGGTGCTAATCAAGATTTATACATTTCATCTGTATATATTTCTTTTGCTCTGCATCCGTCACCTACCAAGCCCTCTGTTTTGTTTGTTTTTCAAGGCATTGGCTCTTTTGAAAAGTACAGACCCATTTCCTTGTAGAATGATGTATATTCATTCACAATGGTCAGATTGTTCACTATATCTTTTTAATAAACTCCTTTTCTGCTTTCATCACCCAGAGTTTGCTTCTGTTACTTGTAACTAAAGTTTTGATTGATCCACTGGTACCTTAATTCATCTTCATTAACCTTCCCATTATGCTAGAAACTTTGGAGGCAAGAGAAGGCCGTGCTGCCTGTGGAACTTCAGTTGTTTGTCAGGAACCTTTTCTGTGGAACGTACCTGCTCCTACAGTAACAGAAGTGTCATCAGTATGGGAGTGTCTTTAATTTTGCCTTCTTTTCCAGGGAAGGGGCAGCTACCACCCCTGCATTCATTTGTGTTGTAGTGCCTAAGGCATTTGACTGCTAACTAGAAGGCTGACAGTTCAAACCCACCAGCCACTCCTTGGAAGGAAGACTGGGCAATCTACTTCCATAGAGATACACCCAAGGTGTGGTGACTATGAGTTGGAACCAACTTGACCGCAGTGAGTTTGGTGGAAGTGAAAAATAAAGGCATGTTTTATCTTATTTTGCCCTTGTGTTCTCCCGTAATTGATCGTTCAAAGGAGTGTATCTATTTGATGTAAAGGTTCACCCTGTATGCCTATATGTTCGTTGGGTGGAAGCTACAGGACTGAGTTCAGTTCCAGACCTGAAGGGTAACTAGGGGCCATAATCTTTGGGGTCTCACCAAGCTCTACCAGACCAGTAAACCTAGTCTTTTTTTATGGATTTGAGTTTTGTGCCATGTTGTTTTCACACTCTATCCAGGATCTCCTGCACTGATCCTTTTCCAAGTAGTTGACAGTGGTAGCCGTGCACTATCTAGTTCTTTTTGTCTCATGGTCATATAGGCTGAGGTCTGCATGGTCCACTAGGCCCTTGAACTAATTGTTTCCATGATTCTTTGGTCATCTTCATTCTCCTTTGCTCTGGACTGAGGAGAGACCCATTATTGCAGCTAGATGGCTGCTCGACCCCAGAGGCTACACCCAAGTAGATGCAGAGAACAATTCTTTTGTGTAGTTTCTTATGCTAATTGAGCTTAATGTCCCTTGTGACCAGAGTCCCAAGCCCACAGGAGCAAGCCTACTTGCTTGGCTGTGGCTAAACAGTTCTCATAACTTTGCCACTTGTTAGCTCTGTTATATGTATGGACATTCTTACAGCACATACAAATACATATATAGAAATATTGTCTGCTAACCTTATGTATAGTCATGTGTATATTCCTCCAATTTAATTTTTATTCTATATTTTTAAATTTTTATTTTCATTTATTTTTTTTTTAAGGAACTTTGGTGGCATAGTGCCTAAGGCATTTGGCTTCTGTCCAGGAGGCTGGCGGTTCAAACCCACAAGCCACTCTTTGGAAGGAAGACTGGGCAATCTACTTCCATGGAGTTATTATATTGTACCACTTCAGGTAAAATACAGAAATGTAGGTCTATTTCTACCACCAGCCTGTGCCTTATGCTATGGTTGACAAGTATATCAGTCTACATACATTACAAAGCCCCCTAGAGATATTATACTTTTGCTTTAGAGTCATGTATATTATAAAGAAATTGAGAGGAAAAACTCATGTTTTATATTTTTCTTTCTCATTTCTGAGTTCTCAACATTGTTCTAGAATTTGAGTTTCTACCTGGTATCATTTCTCTTTAGCCTGAAGGGAACATCTTTCTTCCTCTCTTAGTGTTTCTCATAGTGCAGGTCTGCAGGAGACAAATTCTTACTCTTCTTGATCTGAAAACATCTTATCTTGCCTTTATTATTTTTGCATTAGAGTATTATTCACATGCAGTGACATTCACCCACATTCAAAGTACAGTAAAGTTTTGGTAGTTATGTACAGTAATGTAACCAACAAGGTACAGGACAGTTCCCTTACCCCAAAAACCTCCTCATGCCTTTTTGCTACCTTACACCAGCCTCGGGCAACCACTGAGCTACAGCTTGCATTTTCTAAAAATGCATATAAATGGAATTCTATGGGGTTTTTGTTTGTTTGTTTGACTTCTGTGTATGAGTTCTTTTTTCCTTGGTGAAATCTGTTTTTTTCTTTTACAGCTAGTGCTTTATGTATCCTATTTAATTTTTGCCTAAGCCAGTATCACAAATATTTTATCCTGTTTCCTTTTGAAACTTTTAATACTTAAAATTTCTATGATCCATTTTGAGTTATTTTTATATATTATGTGAGGTAAGAATCAGTTTATTATTTTTCATACAGATAGCACTTGTTCCAGCACTGTTTGCTGAAAAGACTAACTTTTCCCTACGCAATAATACCTTTGACAAAAATCAGTTGGCTTTGTAAGTGTGGGTCTATTTCTGGACACTATTAATTGATCGATATGTCTATTTTTATGCCAATACTACATTGTCTTGATTACTATAGTTTTATAGTAAATCCTGAAATAGATAACGTAAGTCCTCCAGGTTTGTCCTTTTTAAAATTTGGTTGGCTCTTCTAGATCCTTTGCCTTTGCAAATAAATTTTAAAATGAGCTTATCAATTTCTTTAAAAAGTTAAGATTTTGATTAGGATTATATGGACACTAGAGATTC